CTGGGCTCCACAGATGGAGTTACCTCTGAGGATCCTGCCCTTTCCCCCATCACCAGCCCTTCTTGAGCCAAAACATTTTGTAGTCAACTCCCATCTCTCTGTCCTGACCTAAGCAATCCCCTCCCTCCTCAGTCTGTCCCCTTTCTGTTTTTGTTCCTATGTTCCCTGACTCCTGGCCTCTGTCACTCCCCAGGGACAGATGATGTGGCAACTATCATTTCTGCTGCTTCTATTGCTGCTGAGGCGCGGGGCACTGGGGAAGCCGTCCCCTGACGCTGGCCCTCATGGCCAGGGGAGGGTGCACCAGGCGGCCCCCCTGAGCGAGGCCCCTCATGATGATGCCCACGGAAACTTCCAGTATGATCATGAGGCTTTCCTCGGACGGGAAGTGGCCAAGGAATTCGACCAGCTCAGCCCAGAGGAGAGCCAAGCTCGTCTGGGGTAGGAGAGAGATTTGGGGGTGGGGAGTATTCAGAGGTGGGGGTTTGGGGGAAGAGATGATATCATTTATGAGGGGATAGAGGCAGGGGACTGGGAAAGAGATGGCATGGACTGTTTAGGACTTTGGTTCTTTATGAGAATCCAAGAATAAAGTTCTACTTCTCCTCCTGGGGAAAATCACATGTAAATATTGAGGCCTCAAGCCAGGCGCAGTGGTGCATGCCTGTAATCCCAGTGACTCGGCAGGGTGAGGCAGGAGGACGAAGGGTTCAAACCCAGCTTTAGCAAAAGCGAGGCCCTAACTAACTTAGTGAGACCCTGTCGCTAATGAAATATAAAAAAGGGGTGGGGATGTGGCTCAATGGCTGAGTGCCCCTGGGTTCAATCCCTAGTACAAAAAAATAAAATAAATAAAATAAAAAATAAGAAGCCTCAAGATATGACCTTTGAGGGCAGCAAAATCTGGAGTCCAACTCTACCCCCACATGACTCTGTCTCTTTGTCGCAGATAACCTCCCTTTCTTGAGCCTCGGTTCCCTGTTTTGTAAATGGGTCACCAGTTCACTGTGTCAGGGATCCACAGGGAAAATAAGATTTGGTGCAGATGGAGCCCAGCTGGGGGAGGAGGATGGCTGAGCCCTGAGTTTCAGGGTGAGTTAGGTTGAATGGGGTCTTGTCTAATCTTTGTGTTGGGGAGATAACGTCAGAGTGGATCTGGGGACACGAAGACTATGCAACCATTCCCCACTCTGAGTGTGCATTCTGATGATGCTCATTCAGCCCATAGATGTTTATTGAGCACCTATCATGTTCTGCATGATAAAGTCACAGCAGTGAACAAATCAGACAAAACCCATTGCCCATGTGAAGTTTACATTGTAGTGAGGGAGACAATAATAATCCAATAAGTATAAAATGCATCAAATAGAGAGAAATGCATCAGAGAAAAATAAAGCAAGGGAGGGAGGAGTGTGGAGGGGAAAGTTGGTGGAGGGAGAGGGTTGCAATTTTAAACAGGGGAGTGGGAGGAGTGGGAGGAGTGGGAGGGGGGCCTCAATGAGAAAGCAATATCTCTGACCCATGTGAGTATCTGGAGGAGTAGCATTCTCGACAGAGGGAATAGTAAGTGCATGGGCCCTGAGACTGCAGTGGGCCTGGTATGTTTGAGGAACAGTGAGGCCCATGTGGCTGGAAACAGTGAGCAATGGGGACAGGAAGAGGGCAAAGAGGGAACAGAGGGGTCATATCCTGCTGGGCCTTTTGGATCAAGTGACAAGCTAAGCTGTTCTATGAATGAAATGAGAACCATAGAAGGCTCTGAGCAGAGGGAAGAGGTGAGCTGACTTAACAGAATTCCTCCAGCTGTTAGCGGGAAGAGACTCTAGGGAAGCAAGAAGCCGGAAGCCCAGCAAGGAAGCAATTGCAACAGTCCAAGCAGGAGAGGTGATGATGGTGGCTAGATGAGGGTGGAGACCTAAGTGACCCGGGCAGGTGTGCAAGGCTGGAAAATTGTGAGTGGATGGGAATGGGTGAAGAGTAGTGAGGCTGGGCACTGCAGTGCACACCTGTAATCCCAGCGAGTGGGGAGGCTGAGGCAGGAGGACTGTAAGTGCAAAGTCAGCCTCAGTCACTTAGGGAGGCCCTAAGCAACTCAGTGAGAACCTGTTTCTAAATAAAATATAAAAAGGGGCTAAGGATGTGGCTCACTGGTTAAGCACCCCTGGGTTCAATCCCTAGTATCAAATTATAATAATAATAACAACAATAATAACAACAACAACAGTGGTAGGACACCACACTTAGCACAGCACTAACTACAATGCCAAGCACTTTCAAGGTGCTGTACATAGTTTAATTTAGTTAATCCTTAAGTCACTCTGTCGAGTTGGTATTGTTATTTAGCTCCTTTTTACAGCGGGTTAAGTGAAGCACAGAGGGGAAGTCAGTTGCCCAAGGCCACCGAGCTGGCAAGAAGAGGAGGTAGGATTCGGGCCTAGAATGCCTGACTGTGGACCCAGAGGCATCTGGACTCTTAGAGCAGGATGTGAGTTCCGAGGACAGGGCCGGCCCTGATGGACCCTGGCAGAGACAGCCTGGCGCCTGCGGGGAACTGCAACTCCAGGAGGGCTGGGTGGTTGACCAGGACTGCGGCAGGGTCGCCAGGAGAGAGGGGAGGGGCTACAGAGTCGTCAGAAGAAGCCTAAAATGCCACCTAAAGTGGCCTGACATGCGACCGGGAGGCGCACTGCAGGCCAGCAGAACATGGAAAAGCAAGAGTTGCGGGGTTGCTTGTGAAAGACTCAGAGTGGAGCTGAAGGGAGAGGGACCTGAAATTGACCCGTGCAGCCAAGGGGAAGGGGCAGGACCTGAGACAGCGAGGGCTGGGGCTTCAGAGCCAGTCCTGGGACCGGTGCCCCGCGGGGCTAGGGGAGAATGGGATCCAGGCTCCTGCACCCCGCCCCACCTCGGTTCCTAGAGGTTGGAGCTGGTGCAGGGTGTGGGGTGAGGCCCCAGTGCAGGGCGTGGCGCTGAATCGTGCTGGGTCCTTTCACGCGACCCCAATTGGAAAGGGGAAGACTGGCCTCTGGGGGCGGCATCTTGGCCGAGAGGCGGGACCTGTGGCAAGCGCGGTCCCAAGTAACAAGTGTCCCTCCTGGATTCGCCCGCAGATGGTGGGCTGCATTTTCAGCTCTGCATGGGGGCGGGGTTCTATCTCGCTGGGGGCGTGGCTTTGTGCATGGGGCGGGGCCTGAGATGGGCGCGCCCAAGACTGACATGTGCTCCTCCCTGACCTGCAGGCGGATCGTGGATCGCATGGACCGCGCTGGGGACGGGGACGGCTGGGTGTCGCTGGCCGAGCTTCGCTCGTGGATAGCGCACACGCAGCAGCGACATATACGCGACTCGGTGAGCGCGGCCTGGGACACGTACGACACGGACCGCGACGGGCGTGTGGGTTGGGAGGAGCTGCGCAACGCCACCTATGGCCACTACGCGCCCGGTACGCGGCGAGACTCCCCACAGCACACTGTGACCCTGACCATCTTGACCCTTCGTCTTGAGGACCCTTAGCCCATTACAAAGAATTCCTACCTTTGCC